CTTTGTTAGTTTCTTAACAAGATTAAAATTGGCCACTGTCTTGATGAGCACATATTGATCGCTGTCCATTTGAGACAGCAGATAAGTATCGGTTGCCAGATTTTCTCTGTAAATATCAATTCCAATTAGTTTCCATATATTATTTGGGAATATAATTTCGTTTATTACCTGGAAAAGTAGTAGTCCAGCTGTGTGGCCAGCATCTGCTTTAGCTTGTCCAATGGCATTCCACATTCATCAGCGGCGAGCTGCTGCTGCTGTGGGATAAGTTCTGGCTGTTGCTGCTGCTGCTGCTCGAGTGCAACTAAATTCGTATTGTTTACGCCAGGTACGAGGGCCTCTGTGGTATAGCAGACCAGGTTGCCATCTTGAGTCTGAGCAATGGCTCCATTCATGATGGCGTATTCAGTATTGTCGATTGCGTGATTTGCCTGAATGCTATCGCCACTGGACGGCAGCGTCGGCTGCTGAGCCGGATGGTGGCCGTACTGCTGCTGCTGCAAATGCTGTGCTGGGTGCGTCTGCAGATGCACTTGGCCCGGCGTAACTGCCGTTTGGATGGTCTGCGTTGATTGCTGTTGTTGCTGTGCGGCAGCTGCAGCGGCAACTGCCACAGCGTGGGCGTGCGTATGAGAGATGATCTGTTGCTGTTGCTGATGTGGTTGCTGTTGTTGTTGTGGATGCTGCGCGGGCTGTACTGTTGGTGGTGCTGCTACTGTTCCTGTTACTCCTGTTGCTCCTGCTGCAGCGGCTGTGATCAACGGTATGTGAGCGGCTGCTGCTGCTGGTTGCGGAGCTGCAATTTGGGTTGTGGTACCAAACAGATTTGTGGCTAACATAGCCGTTTCAACAGGAACATTGGGATAAACAGGCGGTTGAATTTTGACTGCATCTCCATTCATATAGACGTAACCTCCTGCAAGTGGGCGAGAGTAAATGAAATTAGTAAGATGTAATCAGAAAGAGAATGAAAATACATAGTTTTTAGAAACTGCTTAGTGGGTATACCTGATTAAGAGCACATTTATTTATTTTATTTTATTTTATTGTATAATGTTGAGAGGCTGCTCCATATATCCCAATTTTCTGCTTTACAAAGGGTATAATGTAATTGGAAGCAGAGGATCTAATCTATGATTTGTATTGTCTGGCTAGACGCATTTCTTACGGATTTCATTTATATATACTAATATATATATAAATCTGTATGTATGCATGTTTTTATTTGAGCAAGTTGATTGCAAAAACAAATAAGTGAACAGTCGCCGCCAGCTAATTTGATCCTAAACATAACCACAAAACAGGGGAAGGGCGTGGGGAGGGGGGCAACCGTGGCTGCTGCAAAAACTTTTGCGTTTTGGCCTCACCTTAAAGTAATGCAGCATACGCTTATGTATGTATGTATATCTTCTTATGTACTCGCCTATATATGGGTACATATACGTATGCATACATGCATACACATGCATTTATGTGTAAAAGTGCGGAGCACTGTTTGTTCCATTGTATTGGTAAATTATCATGTATTATACATATGTATGTAGTCCCGCATATTTTTGTTTAATTTACAAATTGAGTAGTGCAATTTCTACTAACCTAGGTAATATTCCATGGTAACGTATGTTGGGGAATTATCAAGAATTCCACACACAGAGGCACACAAACACACACACACTCACACACAAACACAGTTAAAGACACAACTCGCTTCTTCTTCTATTTTCAACTCCTCTTTCAAAAACGAGCACCCGACAGACCCCAAAAACTTGCACAAACGGCACACACACTCACTCACTCACGCACGCACACACACACACACACACACACACAGTCTTGCACTCGCTCACTCACACACACACACTCGTATTCACACTCACGCACTCACATACGCACACATGCACACGTTGCCTTGTTGCGGCTGCGGCTGCTGCCACCCAGCTGAGGCTTTTTTAGTTGGAAATTTTTGATTTTCACTTGAAATATATTCTTGTGGCATGAAACTTGATTACGATACGCGAAATGCACACACACGCGTTAATCTGCACCGATATTCCTTTCTTCCTCTGCTCAATATTATATTTATTTATTTATAATGCTGAACAATTGCAGTCTTCTCTCATATTCTCATCTCGGCTCGTGCCTCATTTTCTTCCAACTTCGACCGTCGTTGTCGTCGTCTACTTTTCTGTGTCTGTGGCTTCAATGACTTAATTTTTGTTCTCATTTAGTTTTCTTTTCCGTGGCTATTTTCGCTTTTCTTCTTTGTCTCCTTCCCTTGGCTGTTCTTTTTTTTTTTTTTTTTTTTTTTTTGCACTCAAATATACGCAGAATTAAAATTGAATTTAGCCCGAGTACCGAACCAGCAATTGATTTTTGTTGTTATTTTCTCACGTCTCAGTTGCACCGCCGCACCAGCAAAAGTCGTTTAAATGAAACACTTGATATTTGCAAATGTTTCCAATAATATTATTTAGTTATTATCGACAACGAACTCGTCACGCGAAAATTTTTTTATAAAGCCAAAAATTTGACGTCTCATCGTTATAGAAAAACTTTCGCCCGTTCCTTTTGTCAAACGTTTCGATACACCAAATGTTGGCACGGTTGCATGCGGCGAAAAACATACAAAAATCAACTGACAACTAGAAAGCGAAGCTAACAAAAAAAAAAAAAAAAAAAAAAAAAAAAAAAGAGGAAAAAAATGCAGGACAGGCGCACGCTTTTTGAATATTGAATGGCGAATGAGTTTTAGATTTTCTTATCGTTTTTAAATATATAACTATTTTGAATGCTATTTCTGTTATTATCGATGGCAAAGCACACGTAATTTAGTGGCGCTGGGTTGGAACGTTGGAAATGAATTATGAGAACTTAATATATATATATATATATTTTTTTTTTTTTGCTAATTAAACAAAATGCATACGCTAGGGCGTTTAAATGTCACCAATGAAATAGATGTAGCAGACAAAAAAACAACACAAAGAACTGTACTTACCACGTACATAAATTTCTTCACTCCAGAAATTATTTATTTTTGGTTGCAGCTCTTCTGATACACCGTCGAAATGAATTGAAAACCACTTGTTATGTGTGTTCTGGCTAGGGCATTCGTAGCGATTGCAACTGCGATTGCTATTGCTATTCGAAATTCTAGATGTTCCCTGTAGTCCGCGTACACAAAATAATACGTTTTGATTTTTTACGAACAAAAATTAATGGAATACACAGCCTAATTTGTGCATCTAATGAATTAAATAAATTAAATTGTGAGTTACAATTTTTGCTGCTGCCGTCAAAACTACAATGTGTGATTGTGGTGGTTGAGCGATAGACAATGACAGTTTTTGGTGAAAGAATAATTGAAGTACGATGGCTCAAAATATATCGATAATAGATGGTCGATGTCAAGCTAATTAATTAATTCGACATATTTACGGGCAGTAGCCCGTTAAATTATATGATCTGGCTTCTATACGATTTAAATCTTTACTAAATTTTGACTGATTTTAATTAATAAAAAACTAAAATTAAATGAATATATAAAAGTTACAATTTGAACACCAAAATATCGATTAATCTGCAATATGCACTACTTTCGATGGCAACTTTTTCTTTCAGTTATTTAATTATTTAACGCTCAATAAAAAAACACCATGGTAGTAAACTGTAATAAATATAAATAATAATTGACTTTCATGGGTATCGTATTTTTCGATATTTTTTGAAATACGTCATCAACATGGCGGCTTCAGAGTTGACGCCGATGTAACCTACTTGCTATTAACTGTTAGAATACAAATTTTATGATAGGACTATTGAAATTGACCAATTTGTTTATATATTACAGATAGATGCTATACAGATGCTATACACACGGTTACTTAATTAAAATGAACATTTAATTTTATTTAACTTGTATGATTAACATTGTTCGCAGTTAATGGTCTATTGCTTTTGTCTTTATATAAATGTTTTTGTTTTTTTTTTTTTTTTTTTTTATCAAGATTTGTAGTTAATCGGAACAAGAACTTTAGCAAGTTAGATAAATATATTTATATATGAGTGTGTAGGTGTGTGTGTAGTGTAAAATTGTATGGATATCCACACGTTTTGTTTCTCCCTTGGCATTTAGTTTAGAAGCCGTGAACTTTCAATTGATCAGGCTTCGCGAGTCCCACCTTGGTCAACCATTGGCAGATGTTTTCACGTTGATCGCCCTGCAATTGCAGAACTTCACCATACTCTGGATGTTCAATCACAGTCCCATTGCAAGCAAATTCCTAGACAAAGAAGAAATTTACTCGATTACTTAAACTCAAATTTAGATCTAAAATCAATATAAGACCTTTTTACAGGAGCGGACTATTTTTTTCAAGTCATATTCTGCGGATAAGCCCTGAACAGTGGTCAATGTCTTACGACCGTTCCTCTGTTGGATTCTTATGTGCACGAGTCCGTCTTGAATGTCATCATCATTGCCCTTGATTGCATCAGCAAAGGGGTCTAAAATATATATAAACAAAGAAACATATATATATATGCATGCATGCAAAATCTGTTAATCACTGTCGTACTGAATGCCCACGTCCCCATACATTTACATAAATATGTATGTTTGTATGTACATATGTATGTATGTTACTTCACGTTGATGACTAGACTAGCCCAAGTGAGCAGCCATTTTTATGCACATACATACACATGCATGTGTGTAAATTACGAGCGTATGGAGTGGGGGAAATAAAAACGTGTAGTTTAACTCTGCTTACCACGAGTGTTTAAATTCTGGATGGACATACGACAATAAAAAGAAACCACAGCCTAAAACAAAATCTGTCTGAAATGTTTTAATACAATTCTTTACTTGAATTTAACTGTAATTTATCTTTATTTTGCGAGTAGAGCTTCGGAAATGTGTCTGACAATTAGGGATGGCTCTAAACATCGATATAGCTGCCGAGCACGATGGTTAATTGATGCATATCGGTACGCATTCCATTGCAAGTCTGCCTGCTTAATCGCAGCCAAGTTCACTTTGCGCTGTATCTGCCATATTTCTTTCCTGCTTGTCTTTCAACGAGAAAAGGTGGGCATTTTGCATTATGTCTTGAATTGGTTAAGTTATAGCTTGCACAGTGTAGTGAACATTATAAATACATAGTAGTTTTGTTCAACTGCTACAGACGTGACTTGTTTCGCATAGATATGGCTCCATTTGTGCATTATATTCGAGGTAAAACCTTCGTGTTAACCTCTACACGTGTATGGCGGCTGCTTCTGCTGTTAGGAATTCACTTTATTCCATAATGAATGAATTGGCGGAAGAGTTCTTTAAAGACAATATTCGTGACCCAAGACTGACGAATCCTTTTAAAAGCCATCTATTCATTTAATGCATATTTATATAAAATTAATTGAAATATTTTCTCTTTTCATATTGTGTCTATCGATGCTGTTGGTCTGCCCTGATTTAATTATGTTTATTGACTTAAAGGTGAGCACATGTGGCATTCAATGAATGGTGTACAGTAACTACAGTGATGAACGATGCAACGGAAGAGTTCCTTGAAGACTATATTCATCACCCAAGACTGATGCCACTAATTGAAAAATGTTATATACTGTAAATGCGAAGTAATTACTAATCTTTACTTACTTTTACTTTTATTTCATGTGTTTCCGCCGTTGCTGCTTCAATTGCTATCTGAAGGTACGTAAATCGTTTCAATTGGACTTTTTGTTGTTAATATATCACATAATGATGAATGATCTGGCGGAAGAGTTCATTGAAGACTATATTCATCACCCAAGACTGAAAAATGCTTCAAAAACATTATTATGGGCAAAATTTATGAATAGATTTTAATATATTTCATTCCACTCTCTTGCAGACGAACGATGGCAACCTCTTCGCACCTCAATTGGTTGATCATTCGCAACAACAACGCCTTCTTGTTGAAGAAGCGCGATGTGAAGAAACCCTTCAGCACAGTTAGTATAATTCGAATTTGAATTCGATATAATCCCCTTCTTCTAAATGATGTTTCCAATTTATAAATATTCACAATGATATTTGAATACAACATGATAGTAACGTAAATCTGACAAAAGAATTGACAACAGCATATGTGGAGAATTGTAAGGAAACTGTATAACTAACAGAAATGTATGTCTTCTCATTTTTAGGAGCCCAATAACTTGGCTAATGTGAGCTCTTATCGCTACAGCGGTATTGTGCATAAGAAAACTGTTGGCGTAGTGCCCGCTGCTGATAAGAAAGGCTTCACTACTGTCTTGAAGAAGGGAAAATATGCCCAGCGTCCTGCTAAGAATACGGTGCGCGTTAACTTCAAGGCTGGTCCCCGTCGTTCCTTGAAGAAGCTGAAGAACCTTTTGACCGGAAGCAAATACCGCAAGGATCTGACACAGGTAGATAAATAAATAGTATTATCTTACTACTCTTAAAAATATTTTATGTTGTGATGATATTACGATTTACTACCAAGATCGCTGAAGGTTTGTGTTGAAAATTTAAACTGATTCTTTTTAAGTATCCATTAATTATGATTTCTTTTTTATCAAATATTAATGCAACAATTATTTTTTGTTTACTTGCAGGTAATGCGGCTTTAATTGCTTTTATATAGCCATTTCCTCCAAGTGATGAACTTACTCTACCAAGATCTCTGAAATAGACGTGTCGAGAATTCTTTCTGATATATATTTATATATTGATATTCTATGCTTCGTAAAATTTTATTAATATTTCACAATTTTTTTGTTTTTAGGCTGCTCTGCGTCGCGCCTCTGCCGTCCTGCGTTCCCAGAAACCCGTTCAAACGAAGGCCAAGAAGCCGTCTCAGGTTTCGGCTAAGAAGCCCGAATAAATGTATTTAATGGGGAAACTGAGGAGTTGTTTTATACTCGAGGAATAAAAAAAATAACAAGTTAAAAGAAAGTCCTAAAAATATTGTCATTTTGATTTAAAAACATGCAACAAATATGATTATTGTAAACTTTGGCTTTGGGACTTCAATGTTGGTCTTTGATGTATTTCTGATATAATCCGCATAATTAAGTAATTAGACATGCGTTATTGGATTTAAAACAGGTTTAATTAGAATTCTTAATGATTGCTACGGTTTGCCAATAATGTTTTCAATTGTGAAGAGTGTGTTCGTCTTTGATTTATTCGTCGTGTCGAGCAGCTGCTGAAGTCCTTTGAATGCGTCAACGTTTAGTGTCGCCTCTCGTCCAGCCGGCGTAGGAGTAAAGGCGCTTGGGGAATGTAGATCTTCACGCAAGGCGCTATCCGATGTGCTCTGCTCTGCAGTTCTACTCGAGCATGGACTGTCGGCGGCTGCATTGCTGTCCTTTAAGGTCCTGCCCGTTGGTTCGTTGTTGAAGAGGCTGTTGAAACCGAAGGATACGGAAAGATACTGTCGATGCAGCTCTGTGATGCGATCCGAGTAGTTAGGACGCAGTGCAGCAGAGTTTGCACTGCCATCGCTGCAGAAGACGTCAAAGTCACCCAAGGCGTCGCTCGAGGATCGCACCTCCCCATTGCTGCCATCATTGCTGGCATTGGAATCGTGCTAGGAGTAGTAATTTATTAGTATATAATGATTGCTGATTGAAGACTCGCTGTGCTTACCTTGCCCGGCTCTCGCTCGTAGCGGTTGTTGCTCGACGAGCAGTGCCTTCGTCTGGTGCGTCGCCTTCGATAGTTGCCCTGCTCAAACATATCCGTGGCGGAGGCATCCAGCATCCAGTAACTGCCCTTCCCAGCGCTGTCGTTATCCTCGATGGTGTTCTTATCCCGCGGCACCTTCACAAAGCAATCGTTGAGCGAGAGATTATGCCGTATGGAGTTCTGCCAGCCCTGCTTATTCTCACGATAATACGGGAATCTGAAAGATATATATAAGAATATATTCTGTTGATCAGCTTTAAAGTCCGATAAAGTTAATCATCTCGTTTGGTTTATCGACCCAAACTGGAAGTGCGCCAAATGTAATACGACGTCAAAATTTAAATCAAAAATCTTTTTGACATCTTCAACTTGTTTATGAATGGCAATTATAAATATACTCTATATATTTGTTTTTATTTTCAAAACTTGATTTCCATATTTTAAGTTTATTTTAATGGCATGTTAAATACATATATTGTGTGCATATATGCATATATGTATGTAGAGAATTAAGAATTATTATTATTTATATAAGACTTGTAAACAAACAGAAAAATGAAAATGGTATTTGAACTATTTTAATGCCGTTAGATATAATATTTTTTCTTTTATTTCGAATCAATTTTAAACTAGTTTAATGTCCTGATATAATGTAAATAAATAGGTTTAAAAAGGCTGAAATATGTAATATAATATGTATAATAAAAATTGTTATGCTTTAAAGTAGTTTTTCCTATTGCAAGCTGTTATTTGAGATATTATATCGATTGTAGATTGAATAATTATTTTCATGGTAAAAATGCTATTTAACGATCGGTAGTATGTCTAGCTGAGTTTAATTAGATTTGCAACATTATTTACTAGATTTATGTATATTATAATTGATTAAATGAATGAAATACGGACTAAAATTTAAATTGAATTTAAGATTCTAATTGATTCGAAGAATATAGGAGAATAGAATAATTTAGCTTAGATGTATGAAATATCAAGACTTAAGACTCAAATATGGACATACAAAATTAAATGAGATTCTCGTTTTGAATATGTGATTCAGAAAAGATCTTATTTAGCTTATACCTAAGACGCACTTGTCTAAATGGAACTGAATCAATGTTGATGGATGATTTAGAATAATAGATATTCCTTCGTATTCATTGAGATTCATAGGAACAAATAGGAACCGGGATTTCCCAAGAATCTTATAGGCATAGGCATATATGTATATACCAATACATATTTTTATAGACAGTTATACTCACTCCATATCGATCTACATCTATTAATCTATTCTCTATCTATATTTTATGTCATGATCACACTTACTTATCCATGATAAATTTGTAAATGCCACTCAGTGTCAATCTTTGATTGGGTGCACTACTTATGGCCATGGCGATCAGGGCTATATAGGAAAAAGGCGGCTTCTCCGGACGATGATTGTTGTGCAAGAAGGAGATGGGTAGAGTCCAAATATTATTGTGCAGAGCCAGAAAACTATCCATATTATTGTAATAGAAGGCAGATGGGAAACTGTTGCATGGCAATCCATCCATATTGACAGCTCCGACGGCATTCGCAGCCAAAGGATGACCGACGCGCAGATAATCTGGACAGGCCAGCAAAGAGTTCACCAACTGCTCATTATCCTGTAGAGCTGATGGAGTTGTATAACATGATGTAGGTAACATATTTTAGGGAAATTTAGGAAAATCCTTTCGGAACTTTGATTTTTTTTCTTTTATATATAATATAAGATATAGCAGATATTACTATATATATATGCTACTGCTACTATACATATATATATGGTTATTTTGTGGTTTTGAAAACTTCACTTTACGTTATTTAAAATAATGTTTCTTGCAGTTTATATTTTAATGCAGTTTCTTAAACCGATACGCGTTGCGTACGCCTTGAAGACCGATCGACAATTAAATTGATTTTTTTGTGGGAGGGTAGAGCACTTGCAAGTGAAAATCCAAAGTATTTGTGAATAGAGCACACACTCACACATACTCAAGTCACGCACATAGAGCACACAGAGACTATAAATACACGAATACTTAAGCAGAGAGATAGAGAGAGAGAGTGACAGAGAGAGAGGCAGAGTATGCAGGCGAGTATGTAAATATAAAGAGAGAATTTGTTTTAGAAATTTTTACACAGATCCTTAGCTAACATTAAAACTATTTCCTATAATTATTGTATAAATTTCAAAAGGAATACAATACTTCCTCTTCTATCCACATACATCGACTATATGGACTTAATGCACACATGTTATTGGTGCACATGACTCCTAGCAGGGGCGTCACTCTCTTTACACACACTTACCCATACTTACTCATACACACACACATGCCATCTCTCTGCTGAAGATCTTTGCTCATTTGCCTGAATTTTCTTGTTGTGGGCGGAGCCAATGAATTTTCATGTGGGTGTGTATTCAAAAGCATTCAAATTTCTTTATATACAAATGCAGCTAACAAATTGTTCAACAAATGAGATTTAAGCAACGCAAAATTGAAAATTCTTTAGATTCTCACTATTAAACTTTAAACAATGCAATTTCTGTAACTTAAATAACTAGCTGAATGTTTATTTAAAGTCTAGTAAACTAGCGAGATTTTTTTCTTTGCTGTAGATAATTATGAAAATCCTAGAACAAACTAAATAAATACATAAAAGTATAAAATAAAGACAATTGATTAATGTATTATTGCAATGTTTTACAAAATTATTTATATCGTTTTTAAAATATGTAATTAATAAAAATATATTCTATCTTATATCTGTTAATATCTAATTATTTTTTTTTTAATTACAAAATTTTTTAAATTATAAAAATATATTTAACTTCATTTTTATAAGCAATATGTATATTTTGACTATAAAATTTATTTAGTAAAATTTTAATTATAAAATATTTTATATCAGAAACAAAACTGATTAGAATGGGAATTGATCAATTATTGCTATCTCTTCTTTTCTGTATTTATATTGTGACAACATAAAATAATATGTTTTGTTTTATAGAAGTCTTTATTCATTTGAATATTCCATTTAATATCTATCAAAATTGTCTTTTTTTTTTTTAAATTTTGGGTAACTATAAAAATATGAGCTGTTGGAGATAAACGAGGTCTATCTCTTCAGCTGCTATCTGTGAGCATATTCCAATTTCCTTTAGGTTTTACGACCTTTCACAAGCGCACTCTATAGGAGTACTATTTGGCTGGTCTGGGAGTCTGGGAGTCAAGTGCGCCCACAGTTCCTAAAGAGTGAAGCGAAAGTCGAAGGTCGTAAAATGATTGTTGTATACATTTAAAACACAGGACGAACTACAAACTGTTTTACGATCGACTGCATGGCAATGGACTCGACTAGAAAGCAGAGTCAGTCTCATTTAAAGGAAATAAAAACAATCAATACCAAATACCAAAGACCAATTGAAGTTCACATATGTCTTTCGAGTCTGGAGTACAAAAAGGATTTTTCACGCTCTCTCTCGCGCTCTGTCTCTCTGTCTGGGAATGCAAAAGATTTTACGATCGCTTACCGCTTTCAAAATGGGTCATAAAACAATGGGTGTATCCTAGACAGACTTTACTCTGGATCGTGGTTCTTCAATTGATCTGCTGTCTGCTGCTTATTTTTAGAACTATGTTGTGAATAGTATTGGAAACAAATATATAGATCTCTACATACGATATAGATATATGTAAATATATATATGTAGATATATAATTTACGTTTTATTGCTCTCTGAAACAAAAGAACAATGTTTTGGTTTTGTTGTGATCTGATCGATCGGTCGCTCGATCGGTTAGTCACGTTCGCATTGTTTTCCTAGTAGCTCATCGTAAAAAAACAAGTGTGCGTATGCTGGAAATGCCAGACAAAAATATACCCTGGCTTTATTGTGAAGAGCTGCTATTTTATATACTTAGTATCTAGATTACAGTTTTAATAGGATTTATGTTAGCCTCATGTATCTAAGGCTAAGTTTTCATTGAAGTCATGGTATGATATTTAAAGAAACCTATTATTTTCTGTTGCATATGATATATAGAATAATATATATAATTGGTTATTGGCCATAAGTTAAGTTAACAATAAGACTAAGGCTGTGCTTGTTTAGAATATATATGTATACATTCTTATAAAGTACTCAAGATCTAGGCACTCAGAGAGAAAGTCAGGCGAAGCCCAATCTTATTATTCTTTACTTTACCATCAAGAAGCTAATATGAAGACTGATC